ATTTCACTGGAAGATATTCTCTTCTAAAAAAAACTTACAAATTCTAAAGAATATTTAAATTTAATGTCTGAACATTGCGATTTACCATAGTGAAAACCTGCTAATACCATTGTTTATAATTTTATATCTTTATAATGTATTTCTCTCGAGAAATAAAGATAATTTCGAGATAATTTTTCAGTGTAGCTTCTGTTGGTGTAAAATATCGCAAATAAAAATGTACAAAAATTGAATAAATTATCATTTAGGCTAAGGTGCGGATATTTCATGTTTAAATCAAGTTGGAGATGAAACTTATTACATAAATAACATATAATTATCTAATGACTTCATTTGCAACTCTTTCTCCCCTACATTTCAGTGTTATAGTAGAAACATCCCCTAAACTATTTGATGTTGGAAGTTAGGGGTTTTAAAATTTAAAAAAAATGGGAATATATTGAGATTTTCGACGCAGTTGAGTTTCCTTTAGTTTCTTCTGCTTATGTCTTTAAAAAATTTAGAGCCATTTAGACTATTTTTTATTTTACTAATATGCACTTTTATAGTTTTATTACACGGAAAAAGTAGCAAAAAATATGATTTGAGAAGTAAATACAAGAATTTACATGTCAATCTCTTCAAAAGTAAAGTTGATAACTTGTAGTTAAGACATGAGACACCGGAGCTGATCTTCAACGGATGAATCAAGGTTAGATTAATTAGTTAGTTGTTCAAATTATATCCAATAATATCATCATTCAACTTATTTCTTCTCGTTAGAAATTTAGAGACTATGATTATATTATTGAATGGATTAATAATCTCTATAATACTATCCATTGGTTCTTCTCTGTAGAGCCTATATTAGATTATTGAACAAATTGAATATTCTCTATAATACTATTGATAACCAAACTTTTTCCCTAATGACTTCAGTACTTGAAATCGAATTGTGTGATGCATCACATGATAAATTTGTTGCCAATGATACATGAGGTTTATTTGTTGAGGTTGACAAGATGTTAGATATGAAGTTCAGAATTTGTCATTTAGCCCTCTATTAAGTTTTTCCTTCTCATTAACTCCCATCACACGCAAGATCTATTCTTTTAAGTGAATCTTTTTATTCCATTGCTAAATGCTATCGCATATATGGTATATGGCATGAATATTCTGTCATGTATTAGCCTTTTGATTTCTACACTAGATTATGATTATCAGTGTCTTTATATCTACCTTTTCTCTGACCTAAAATTATAACTTGTGTTGTGTTTTAAGAAAAGGCTAAATCAGACTTCATAATCTTTTTTTCCCCGAGAAATCATTTTGTGTGTTATTCCAGATAATGAAGAATATAACTATGTTGCATTTCAATTTTGGGAGCCTCTTTGAATCTGGTCAGGTTATATTGTATGTATCAATAATGAAAAAATAGTTTCCATATTGATAATTTATAGGTTTTACTTTCTAAAATGTGCAAATGCTGCTCCAAACAAGCTATTTGTTGGTGTTGGTGACTCAAATGCTGATCACAAGTGTTTGTAAAGGCATGAAGATATGGACACTGTTCGTAGTGTCTATTATGTGTCTCCCAGCAATCCTAGTTCTGATGTTGCTGAAGAAATGGTTGTTGCTTTAGCTGTTGCCTCATTATTTTTCTGGTCTGTTGATCAAGCTTATTCGAAAAAGATATTCGAAAATGCAGTTAAAGTTTTTACGTTTGCAGTTCAATACAGAAGGTCTTATAGTGATTCAGTAAGCTCTACACCCTTGGTAGCCATATGGACGGAGGTAGTATGATGCAGTAACCATTGGATTGAACTTGGTGAAGGTTTTTAGAAGACTAATTACTCAGATAAATTACAAATTGAAATGATGTGCCAAATCTTTAGCAAACTTTGATATTTAGTTTTAAGCGATATTTGTGCACTTTCTTTTAGTAGTCACTCATTTACACGTGTTTTGTTCTTGCAGGGAGCCAATCTTGATGATTCCTTTGAGAATTCACAAATTGAAAGATCAATATTGAGAAATTATTGGCTTTTGTTATCGTTGTTGATTTTGTCTGACTGTCCAAAGAATCCAGGTAAAGTGAATTTGTTGCTTCCATATAATATGGTGTGAAATGTCATGAATATGAGTTATTTTTCACTATAAATTTTCTCAACTACGATACTGGATAGGCTATAGCCTATATGCTAGGCAAGTTTCTAAGTAATTGAGTCTATTCTCCTGATTTGGGGCCCTTTCGAGGATGTGGAGTAGGCCGGGGAAGATGTAGCAACATTATATATGGAAGATCTTATAGGTGAAAATTAGATATTTTGTAAGCTTAGTTTCTTTAATCATCTCACAAATACATTTGCCTTATCAGTGTACTTCATATTTTCTATTTTTTGAGCAGTTAAAGTTCCTTTTATTATGAATAATGATTTGTGAAGTTTCTACAGAAGAGAATAATGTTCTCTGTTTTTTTTTTATTGTTAGGACATACTCAATTCGAATAATTTCGCAAGCAAATGGATCTGTGGTTATGAATTCTGTGAAATGCATCTGCACTATTTATTTGATGAGACATTTATCGAGTCTTCTTCATATTAGTATTTGATTTGAGTAATGTGTATACAAAATTTAGGAAGATGATAAGTTCATACTGTTCAACAATTAAGGTTTGCTTAATTTTGCTTCAGGTTTTTAGCTTGTGACAGCAATGCAGGGAGAACTTTTGATGGATGGGTTTTTCTTTGCATCAACTATAGATTTATTTAGTTCTTCTTTATTTTACCGGAACTATAGTAATTACAAAATTCTTTTTTTATATGATGTAATGATAATTAAAATGCTTTTGATTCAAGTGTAGATGAACAATGACGCGGTAGACAAATCAAAATTCAAGTCATTTTCTCAACTGCACACAAATATACGTGTTGGGCCCGTGCTGGCATGGGTTTGCCCATCTAGTGTAAGTATATACGACAGTGTACATCGGCATATGTATATAGCCCATTTTCACCTCTCGGACACTTGTTTTTTTGAATTTCCAGCTTCAACACATGTTCCGATGACTTGGTTGACTTAATGAAGGATAATATTGAGCCTCCAGGGCTCACCTCGAAGTTAAGTCCACCATGGACTCGGAAAGGGTTCATATAACAAATGAGATAAGACATTGCATTTGGAATAAAGAAATAAATGATACATAACTTAGTTGACATAAGAGTGATTTAATTATTTCAAGATCCTCCTGAAATGAGACAAAACTCACTAATTTAAATAAGAGTGAGTGAACTTGAACCCCTTGTTAAAGATGTAAGTTCAAATGACTATATTTTAATCAAGAAAAGACACACTTCATGCTTGAAGTACTAATTCACTAACTCCGCAAAAATGGAAAGGCTTCAACCAGATTGTAGGTTGGAATTATGCTATCTTGCAATGAATATAATGAGCAAGAGCAAATTGAAATAAGATACGTACTTGTTGATGTTGATAACATTAATATCAATATGTATACTCGATCAACAAAAAGAAATTAAAATCGAGCACAAATTTAAATTATAGATTAATATACAGATCGTTGACATAACTTAGACAAAAACTGAAAAGGTAAATCGCAATAGGCATTGTTGAAGGAAGCTTAACCACTGATGGAGCACAGGCTGACGAGTTAGAGTTGAAGTCATATTAGGACTAGAAGCTATTAGAACAAAGTATTTGATTTGTAATACAATACTGCTCATGTAATTAGTAACTCAACATTATAATTATCAATACATCCTTGATTTCTCCGTATCGTAGTAATATTTTTACAGGTATTGTTGGTGAGTTCAAAATGTGGGTTTTAATTTTGGAGTTTCGAAAAGGAAATCAAATTGAATCAAGAAAATAAGCAGATGAATAACAATTTTAACTAAATTGGTGCAATTGGTTAACTTCGACCCAAAATTAAATAAGATGAATTGTTCTCAATTAATTAATAAGTTTCATAAAAATCTTAATAAAATAAAATAATTAAATTAAATTATTTCAAAATATAAACTTTTAATTTACACAAAAATTAATAAAATAAAATATTTAAGTAAAGGATGAGTTTGAATATTCATAAAATATTCTCTTTTGTATACATAATTATATAAAAATGTATGTGAAATTTAATAAATAATTTTTTTTTAAAAAATAACTTTAAAAATAATATTTTGAACTTTATAAGAACTAATTATTCAAGATTATTTGAAATTTTAGAAGGCCGGTGATTAATTTATATTGTGGAGGGTCAAAATTGGGTGTCAACAACTGTTCCTCGTTTGACTTGGATTGATGAAATAAATTCGAGGCTATATGAGAATTCAGATCATTTGTAGTTCAATATGCTTGATTTGATGTACGAGTGTCAAAGAATTCAAAGCTATCCCAATATCAAATTATGAAGAAATATTAATGCTTGAGAATAAGATTTAAGAGAGAATGTCGGCATTACTCAAATTTCACGATTTTTTTTATATTATCAGCCCGTGGCTCTCAACGAAAAAAAAATTCTGCCATGACAAGAATGGTAGTAGTATATTCAGGGAAGTGCTCAAAAAATTTATATCTTGTACTTGTCATGATAATATTCCAAGAAAACAATAGACATGTATAATAGATCATATAATTCTACCAAAAGTTAATCATACTGAGAGTGGAGCTTTGTATCAGGCCCAAATGCTGGATCATGTCCAAATATATTACTTTATTCATTTCACATAATTAAGATTATAATTTAGAGTCAAATTTCTTTATTTCAACTATTCATTTGGATATACAATCTTTAAAGTTTCTGATAAATAAAAGTACTATAAGCCATATGAATTAACAATTTAAAATATTCGAAGAATATACAAATAACAATAGAGAATTTCTTATTTAATTTTTGAAATTCTAACTTTGTCATTTAAATGTGACATGGAGTATACAATATTGTCCTGTTAAATTACTTTAATTCCATCTTTCACTATTGATTTATTTCCCTCTCTGCTTCTCTATTCTTTCCCCATAGGACCAAGTAAAGCCCACCAACTAGCAATATTCCTCCACATACACTGCCAAAAACAAAAAACAAAAAATTGAGTATTTGAAGTTTTAATTATAAAAGAATTGAACCATTAAGTTGAATATTAGCAAAAACGTTACGTATATCTAGTATAGATCATATTCATTCTAATAGCAAAAATGTCATGTATATGTAGGGGCATGCAAAATTCAAATCGATTGATAAATCAAATCGAAAAAAATATTATTAAATTTTTTAAATAAAATTATTGAGTTATTGGTTTGATATCGATTTTTATTATTGCGTTATTACGAATTACTCAAAATCTAATGAGTAAAGTAAGGGGTTCACAATTGTAGCTATTTGATTTTAGTTTTAGTCTTGTTGGACTATTTTATTTTAGTTTTAGTTTGTATAAGTTGTAGCATTTGTAAGTTTGTAAAGGTCCGTAATTGATTAACATAAAAAAAAATTCATACTATGTTTTAGTGGTAACATGTAATTTAGCCTTCGTACTATATTTTCTCTTATTGATGCAATTTCTCATTATCTTTCTTGTTTCATTATATCAAAGCATTTGGATAAGTGAGAAGACATATAATATTTTACAGACATTTTCTTATTAGATAAACTGAAATCGAGCCGATAATGATCAAACATTAATAAATCAAAAATCGATAAAAAAAATATCTTATTAATTTATTACCGAATTGACATATTTAATAATCAAAAACCAATAAACCAAATCAATAATATATGAAACAAATTTGAACCTACCTATGAAGCACTCTTACGTATATGAACTAATTTGATGATTTGAAATGGCGGTGTTACCTTCCCACGTAAAGTGTTTCCTTCCATAAAAAAGCTGAGACAATGGCAGTTATGATGAGTGATAGTGGAGTGAACATAGATACAAATACTGGCCCTTTTTTCTCTACAGTCCAAAGTTGTATCCAATATGTCAAGCCTGTAACAATATAACCCTGCAATGTTTGTGGTGAATAATTATATTACACAGTAAAAGTAAAAACCCCAATGATTTATGCCATAAACAACAAAAAAGGTGAATTTCATACATGTTCATCTAATTTTCAACCCACTTAGAGAGGGAAAAGAAAAAAAAAGATCCACATGGCAAAAAATATTTTACTTTATTGAGATGAAAAGTAAAAATATTTTAATTTTTATTTTAAGTTAATATACGTTGAGAATATAATTAAATCATAAAAGTATTTTTCTCTAACAACTAAGCTTTTATGGTCATACATTTCAACATGATATCAGAATAAGTTGAGTTACTGATATCAAATCTCACTCACATCCAAAATTAAAAAGAATTTTCACATGATTGATATATGAAAAAAATCAAGCTCACACATGACAATTCATCAATAAAAAGTGTCAAAAAGATATAACGGGGGTTGAAGATTATGTTATATTTCCAAGGATTAATTAAATTAAATTGAAACAAAAATCATGTTTCTGAAATAGCATAGGAGAAAACATACACAATAAGCTACTGAAAAAAGATTAATGTCCCATTTTAGCTTCCATGCTGATATATTCCTTTCCATCACCATGGCACAAATTGAAGATTGTATCCAGCTAAACAAGCAATATAGAGTGGCAAGACGAAGTTTTGCTGGATATTGTTTCACAATACGAACCTAAAAAAAATAAAAATAATCAGAGTTCCTTTTTAAATCTCGTGATCTTAAGTTTGTCAGATATTCTTTACTATATATAGAAAGAGACATTCTTTATGATAAGTAAAACACTTAAATTGACACGTGACTCAGATGTAATTAAATATACCTGTAAAATGAGCCATAGAGACCATGTGAAGTTAGCTAAAACCATGACTAGTGAACCTTTTAACCACTCTTCCTTCAAACTATAATTCAAATTTGAGCTATGAGTTCCCCTTGTGTTCCCTTTCATGAAATTCAATTGTGGACCTTTAACTAAGGCAAATACCAAAGCTCCTGTAACACCAATTGAAGAACCCAACAGTTTTGCCATTCCATGTGATTTCTTTATTGCAAGAGCCTCCACTCTGTATATTTTATTTAAAAAAAAAACAAAACAAAAAAAACAGAACATTAAGTACAATTATGGTTTCTAAATATTTCTCTCTCTTCATTTTTACTTGTCACATTTCATTTCTAGGGAGTTAAACTGTATAGACTATGAACAATTTTATAACATGTGATTTTTCATATAATATAGTTTTCAAATGTCTAAATTTAAAATAGTGAATAGGTTAGCTTCGAAAATTAATTTAAGTTAACATACTCTCATAAAATGAAACGTGACAAATAAAAGTGAACCGCAGCTCAGCTTAGGTATATGTAAAGTGTACCTTAAAATTACTGCCATAAAAAAAGTGATGGCTGGAATTAAGTTAGTGGAGGCTGCAGCAAATGTTGCTGTGGTGTAATGTATGGAAAAATAGTATAGATCCAAACTTAGAGTGCTGAAAAAAGAAAATGTAACAAAATTAATCAAGTGAGGCTAATGATTAACATACAATAAATTAAATAATTAATAGTGAACTTTACCTAAGTAATGACATCAGGAAGATCTTCAGCATGATGTTGTAGGATAAAGGAACATCAGATTTTCTGTTTTAGTTAAAACAAAAAGTTGAAAATTGCATATATACAATATAGTAGTTAAGCTTGTACATACACTACTAAAAAATCGCGAATTTATTATATTAACCTTTCAAAGAAGGCAGCGAGGGGGGCTAACGCAATGATAGCAAATGCTTGGCGATAAGTAACGAAAACATAAGGGTTCATCCCTTGAGATATTGCAGCTTTAGAAAACAAAGCCATGCCTGCAAAAATAGCTTGTGTGAGGAGCATGGCAATGTAGTGTTTTTGTTTTTCCATTGACATGGCACAACTAATTACTAAGTGCTTCATTTTCTCCTCAATTTGGTTTTCTTGTCATGTTAGTGCATCAAAGAACTCTTCAATTTATAGACAAATCATAGACTTGGTACAATTCTGATTTTTTCTAGTCTGTTTGGTCAAACTTTCAAACTCTGAATAATATTTTTTTGGTCAAAAGTGTTTTTTCGAAAAGTAACAAGTTGTGCACTTTTGCAAATATTAGAGTAGCAATTTTCACATGCTCGAGTTTTTAAAAAAGTATTTTTAGGGGAAACACTATTTTATAAAGCTTTTTCGATAACAATTTATGTTGCATTACTCAAACAAACTTATTATTTGTTTTCTAAAAGCTTATTATTATTTTTTTTAAACCTCCTTTACTACTTGATGATAGATATTTTCAACCACTTAAACACGTCTCACTTATAAAATACCTTCTCTAAAATAAATATCGTTTTTACAATATATACATTTAGCTATCACTTAAGTGGGGTCAAGGTTCATTTTACCTTTCTTTTTGACTAACAAGTCCTATTCAAAAGGCCAATGTTTCATAGTCAATTGTGCATATTAAAACTTTATATTGTTAGACACCTAAGTTTGTATACATGCAGACAGAAAAACAGCTCTTGGGGTCATATTAATAAGATGCACGTTTATTATTTCTTTTTTAAAAAAAGTGAATATGATATGTTATGTGAAATATGTTTTTTATAATTCGGAGTTAAAAGATAATAGTTATTGATTTTGTTATTCTAAAAAAGTTTAACTTTAATAAGATATTTATAAAAGTTGCATGATTTTATTATCCTAAAAAAAAAGTAACATCGATGAGATATGTAATAATTTTAATAAATAAGATACAATATAAGATCTGTGTATTTTATCGCAGCAAATTAAATCAGAAAATATTGTTCCAAATCATTTCTTTGAATCACTAGAAAATAAAGACGATGTGCTAAATAATTTTTGATGTTTTTGTTAAGAGAAGAAAAAAAATCTTTTTTTTAAACGTTCCACCACTTTTTAAGGAAGAAACACTCCCTTCTTAAAAGGGAGTGCAATTGTTAAAAATAAATGTTCCCTCCAATCTTTTGAGAAAGAAATAATTATTTTTTCTTATCTTCTTATTTTCAGAGAAAATAAAAATAAATTGAAATTAAATCAATTAACATACGTGATTCATGATGACCCGTGAAATTTGATCCAAAATATAAGAAAGATATTCTCATAAGTGGAGTCTATGGAGATCTAGTAAGCCGAATGGATGTGCATTACTGAGATATTTAGGCAAGAATTACAAGCTTGACTTCCAAATGGAGGGTGGTCCTTGGTATTATTATCTTGAAGATTATAATCATCTCCACTTTTGTAGTACTAATTAAGTGGAACAAAATGTTAGATATGTAGCAAAAATTAATGGGAAACGGAGACAAAGAGAAAAATTTAAAAAGTTGGAAACTTGAGAAGTCCTTTTATGTTTTAGGTATAAAGATATTTGTCCCTCATCGGTAGTGAAAAAGAAAAATAGAAGAATTTAAATATAGAAACACTCTTATTAATTCTTAAAAGGATTGGAAAGAGGGACTCCCCTCGTGCCGTCGTCGGCTTTGGCTTTGGAAAATGATCGAGATATTATTTTTTGGACAAAGTTTGTTTTAATTATTTAATTCATTAAATTAAATAGTCATACCAGTTTCAATTAATTAGTTGTCCGACCCGACTCGAATACGTGCGACCCGTTTCATTTAATTTTTTTCCGGTTTTATTTGAATTTCTCACCGTTTGGAAATGTATGTTCTGAAAGGTTGCAACTTTCAAGAACAGCCAGGACCGTTTGAAATGTTGCAAACTTTCATTAATGGTTGTGTGGATTCTGAAAGGATTGCAATCTTTTGGAATCTGTTCCTCTTGCCTATAAATACTAATTATTGCTCAGAATTTTTCATTACGAATTTTTCTGATTTATTTTTCTTCTTATGCACAAAAATTTCTTCGTGTACTTTACTGTTGTTGAGTGGTTCGCTGACACCAGAGTTTTTGGTATCTACACACTGGTGATTGAGATCATTTTATCCTGGAAGGACATATTCCAAATCAAACCTCGAATACTAGAGGGGAATAATTTTCTTAAGGAGACACTGTGAATTCAGTGAACTTAATCTTTTTCCTGTTCAACTTTTTCTTTTTCAGATTTTAATACGTTACAGATTTTAGTTTTTCTTAATTAATTTATGTTCATCTTTCTTAATGATTCGGTGAACTTTGATTATTTCGTGTTTCTGCAAAGTTTTGTCAAAATAAGTAATTCTGATTTTTCAAACACAGGTTAATAACATATAATTCAGAAATCATGTTTGGACATATAATTATTATAATTTTTTTGAAATTCGAAAAAACTTAAAATACTTGTTAAGGTTGGTTTTAGTTTACTTATTTTTTATAATTTAATTATTGACCAAAGTATAAAATTGGATCAGTCATCAAATATCACGTGAACTTTTAAAAAAAATTAGTGTTGATCCTGAGTTGGAGGGCATAAGTAAGCCAAAAATGTATAAGAGGGATATGTTTAATAAAATAGATGGATGCAGATATCTCTATACATTTTGGGGATAATATACAAGTACCTTTTCAATCTATGTTCAAAATTTTAGAGACACATTTATACTATATTAAGGTCCTAATATCTACCTGAATTTATTTTATAAATAATTTTCTACCCCTTTTCGGCCTATGGGGCACTATCTTGTGGACTCAATGCATGTTGACATTTTTTCAAGTTAGTGTCACGTAGATCGAAAAGGAGTAGAAAATTATTTATAAAATAAGTTCAGGAGTAATAGGACCTTAGTATAATATAAGTGTGTCTCTAAAATTTCAAATATATATTGAGGGGCACTTATACATTTTCTTTATATTTTGCGATAATTTAGGAACATTTTTTATCCTTATTCATTGTACATAATATATTTTAGATTTTAGTCTGTTCCATAAGCAACAATAAAATTTAATATTTTAAAAATAATTCAATTATAGAGTTTACATGTTAACTATTCTTAGTCATAATAAGAATTATAACATATCCAATATAATTTTATAATTATATTCTAAAAAAGATAAAATATACACATATACCCACAGTTTCGTGCGTTATAGAGACTGTAGTTTGATAGTCTCTTAACTTTAAAGTAAGATTTCATTAAAAAAGTTGCACAACTACGCAATTATAAACTTTTTTATTTTTATTATTTTTAATGAGATGATTTATAATTACATAAATAATTATGAATTTTGAAAAATAAAAAGAGGCGAAGCCAGCATATATATACATGATTAAAATTATTTTTTTTATATATATATACAATAAATGTCAAATTTTTTCAATTAATTCATGTGTTTTCTTTAAATTTTGAAGTCTTTATTAAAATTCTTAGCTCTGTTATTGTAATCAAACAATATCGGGTAAAATGAGAGTGAGAAAGTAGTAGGTGTTCTTTTTTCTTGCAACAACGTGCTCAAAAGTTTTACTAGTACAAGTGTACAACCATCTTATATTATTGGGGACATGATTTCCAATATAATGTTACATCACTAGTGTTTGAAGTTTTGAGAGTCTTCTATTTTTTTTACTATTTTGGTTGATGGTATGTGGTTGGTTTTTGCACCCACTTTTCGGTGTGCAATGTTCAAAGTGCTCCATTTTCATGCGTTTAATCGACTTGAAAGCATAAGCTTAATCCATCGTGCATAATACTGTTATAAGTCAAATTGAGCTAGGTCAAATTTGAATGACGTTTGGATATACTACAAGAATTATCAAGAAAAGAAGAAGAAGGAGAAACAATTTACGAGAATAAATTTTTAAGCATGTCTCAAATAAGTACAAGCGTATCCATAATTTTCAGATGATGGTGCATTATTATAAAAAAGTCAATCTAAAATATATATATATATATATATGATCGATTTGACATTTAGGTTCTTATCACTAAAAATCATTAAAATTATAAAATAATAGATCCATATATATATATATATATATATATATATAACTTTACTTAGAGAAATACACTCAATTATCACTGCATTATACGATACAAGAGGTTTCAATCATTATCTCTCATATATAAAGAACTATAAATAATATTGATGTTATTCTCTTTGTTCCTTTTTATAAATCATTTCTTTTTATAAATAATTAGATGATATTACTTGTTATTTTATAAAATTAATTCTTTCAATTATATTCTTGATAGAATAGTAAATTCGTTCTGAAAATATATACTTTGATCAGTTTTAAAAAAACTAATAAGTAATTAATATTCATTTGAGTTCTTGATTAATTACTCTTTTCATTTTTTATTCTATAAATTTGATTTTTTTGAAAAGAAACTCAAAAATATAAGTAATGATCTAAATATATTTTAATTTTAAAATCTAATATATTTATCATTTATTATAAAATAGACTCAATAAAATATTAAATAAAAATAAAAAAAGTAAATGTAATCTAAAAAGGCAACACAAAAAGAAATCGAGGGAGTATTAAAAAAGAGGCTATTCACACGTATCAAGATTTATACCTAGCAAATAGTTATAAATGTGAGTATTAAAAAGGGCAAATTTTATACATAGCAAAGAAAAAGTTATTAATTTTATATTTTAGCAAACAATACAAAATTGTATTTCATAAAAACTAAAAGTTTGCTACGGGTCTTCTTTTGTGTATAAGTGAGCTATTTATACAGTTTCAATTTTAAAAAAAAACACAGCACATAAATAAGGAAAAAATCCCACAATTCACGCCAAATCAATTTCAGTTTCAGTCTTCCTTCTTCTCCTTCGATCGAAGCAGCTCCCTTGTTGACAATTCAAAAAATTGATCAAGCTATTGAAGATTTTAAGCAAGCAAGCAAGATAAATTTGTTTTTAGAGATAGAAATAAGAGGTAATTCTGATTGTGTTTTTGATTTTGTCGACAATGGTGTTTAAAATTCAAATTTTGTTTTTTAATTTCATCAAATCAGTTGAATGTATATTGAGATGTGAATATATGTCCGTAATTGAT